ACTGACAGCTAATAGGCAGTTCCATTTGTGATATTAACATTGTAATTTTTTTTTATATCTAACCTTTTAACAGGTTCTTATATGAAAACAAACAGCTAGTGTTGTTTGATACAACATGGATATTAATAGTCTTCCATCAACTCTTCCCCAGCTGTCTTCCCTCTGGCTGTCACGGTGCTTACCACTCCAATCAGGTCACCACGTCCGTACTCTCCTATCAACTCTTTCTTGCCATCCTCCTTCATGATTACTGAGCGCAGTCGACCACTCAGCACTATGAAAGTGCTGTCTGATTTCTCTCCCTGCCTGCAAAAAGAAAAAAATACAGATAACTTCAGTCTACTCCAAACAACTCACAATCACATTTCCAAATTCAGCTTCCCCTCCCTCGATTAGTATTTATTAACTTGTCCCACATGAACCAAGTAATGCCTGCAGTGTTACGAGTTGATTTCACACATGAGACACAAGGTCAGCAGAGGAATACCTGTAAACAGCCCTGCCAGCTTCGACAGCCATCCAGTCAAGAGCAAAGTCTATTTGCCTGACAAAAGATGACATCCTCTTCACCACAGCATGAGCAACATTCAGCACCACTTTGGGCTCCACTCGCATTATCCTAAGGAATAAAGAAGAATCCACAAAAGTAGAAGTAGCCATCTTTGTTTTCCCCTCCAACTCTACAGTGCTGAACATCACAACAGTGTGAGGATGTGTGTCCAGGTCACTCACTCATAAAAATGTGTTTTGGAAATAGAGAGGAAGCTGCAATCTCACTGAGCTCAAAGGAGTCGAGCACTTTTGTACATAAACACCGAAGCGAGAGGAATTACTCACCACGGACATCGGGAGAAGTCACAGCACACGAGCAGGGAGCGAGCACACGAAGAATGATTATTGTGACAGATGATTATTTGCATCTTTTGTCAATAAACACACTTTATTCTACACAGGAAGTCCTGCTTTCACGCTCGGACTGGAATCAAAGGCAGTGAACGGGGAGTGTTTCTTCTGTGGGAAAAAAGGACATTATGCAGACTCATG